TTATTAGTCAATTCATTAAAATGACAATAGAAAAAATGAATTGAAAGTACTCCATATTGGGAGGGTTGCCCTCACAATTCATGTAGGATTCAAAAATAGGAATGTGATGTAAAGTGAAGGACCATAATTCATTTTTTCTATCTGACCGTGACTTCCCTTCGGATTAAAGTTTGGATCATTTTAATAACTAAGTATGTCGCCAATAATAACTAAGTATGTGGCCAATAAATTAAAGTTTATTATATATGCTTTCAATTATAAAATATATATTTTTTAGTTATGAATTATTTAATTAATTTATCTAAGTTTAAACATGTTAAGTAGATTAAAAAAAGTAAACAGAAATTAAGAAAAGATTAAATATTTTATTTAAAAAATTCAGAAACTAATCTACCTAATATATAAATCTAAAACAAAATTTTGCATGCTAATTTAATATATTAACTTTATGTGAAATTAACTGGGCAATCAAAGGAGGTTTTGATTTCTTCTATAATCTTACATGCTTGTTCTGAGTCCCGACCAAACATGATTTCTATTTCTTTTGATTCTCTTTTTCCTGAGTTATATTTATTTGTTTTTTTTTTTTCCCATTTTGCCTAAGCCTCTTTTTGTCGACTAAGTTCTTCTTTGGTTCTTTTTTGTAATCCTTATTCTTTTTATAGAATAGGCTAAGCCGTCAATTTACCTCAAAAAAATAAAAATATAAAAATAAGCTTAGATTTAGTTATATTAAATTTAATTTTGAAAGCAAAAGTTAGAAGTTTTAAAATTTAATCAAATATACGGAATCAATTTTATTTACCAATTTTTATCTACATTTGACGTAACAAAACCATATTTGGTTGGGAATAAAAGTTTCATTTTGAGATGATCAAAATTTACATCAGACGGTCTTATTCTGTTCATTAATTTTTAAAATGTGACTGTAATTTGAAAACAAATTTGTAAGAAAATTATTTGACATAAATTTCTCATAATTTTGCTTTAAGATAGTTGTCATGATTTTATTTGATTATTAATTTTTTAATAATTTATAGCTTTCAAAAAAATTTATTTTATCCATAATAATTTTCATAGAAAATTACAGTCCACTACTATGAAATCCTTAACATCCTTTCAGCTATATGTAAAAAATAAATCTATCACTATTATAAGAATTATTTTTTAAGAAATTATGAGATATGCGTATTATATATTCTTTTAAATAATTAAAAAAAAATCTTATATCTATCAAAATTTAAAACTAACTCATTCATATATAAAAATTTTAATAATAGAAAATACAAAAAAAAAAAAAAAAAGTTTTAACAGAAAACACAATTACTATTCACATGTTCTGTTAAAACGCAAAATTTTTTTTGCGTATTCAGACAAAACACAATCTTGCAACACATTTTTTATCCTTATTAAATTAAATTTATACATCATTCATTATCCAAATTCCTACATAAAATATGATCGTTTTAAAAGTTTTGCCTTTTTCTTTTTTGAGAAAATTATGGGCAAAGCCCTTATATTAAAAAAACCAGTTACAAACTATGCTAAAAGCAGCAAACAAAAACTAAAAAATGAAAAAAAGAGCTGTAAAACAAATACAGCTCTCCAAAAGAGAAAAAAGAAAAAAAAAACCAAAATTAAACTCAAAATATCAGAACAAATAACAAAAGAGTAATGTTGGGCAAAAATACTAATTGGACTCAGAAGCTAATGGTCTACAGCTCAAACAAATAAAGCTCTCCATGTGAGCACCAAATAAGAATGTCCAGCAAAAGGCCATCCAACAAAACCAATGGTTGCCACAAGGGCTATCCAAAGATAGAATGGCAAGGGGTTGGCCAACTTCATCTTAATCCAAATACCAAAATTGCACCAGAAACGATCTTATAATCCCCAAAAAGACATCAGTAAAAATCTCGAAAGCGATCCTTAAGCTTGTCGAAATGCTTCCAGCTTCTAGTTTGGAGTCGAATAACATGCTTAATGGAAGAAATAATGGATTAGTTTTGTTGTCTGGTGGATTTTTTTCATCTAATTTTTTTTTGTTGATGTTTTATTCGTCATGCTTGCTTTGTACATTTCATTGATTCTTTATAGAGTTGTCTGAGTATGGGCAAATTATTACATCCGATCACTGGACGCAGAGAAGAGGTTCGGACATCCAATAAAAACTTGTCACGTCACCTACGTTTTTTATTGCATTTTTTACTACGCTTTATGTGCGCTTTGATTGCGCTTTTGACTGTGCTATACCTGCGCTTTTGACACACTTAATTTAAAATAATATTTCATTAATATCCGGACCTATCTTCACGTCCGGTGACCGGATGTAATAATTTGCCCTGAGTATGAGCAAGTCTGTTCATTTTCCTTTGTGTTAATGATTTTTTAATGAATTGGTATTATATTAGTAGTTTATTTGCACAGATGTACATAGAATCTCTAATATTAGCCAAATGTTTCACGAAGTACATGCAAATATCTATAAATTAAGGTATGATAAGACAAATGTCAAGAATACCATTGTTACTCCCATTTTAGCGGAAAATTTTCTCATTTGGAGGTCCCAAATTCTTAAACTCTTCAAAGCAAATGGCTTTGAAAGTTTTTTAGATGGCTCCTGTACATGTCCGCCTAAGTATACAACAGACTCCCAAGGCTTACCCACTCCTAATTTTCATCACAACACTTGGATTCTGGTTTATCAGAATCTAGCAACAGCCTTGTATTCGGACATCTCTCCGGCATTGTTACCATATGTGCTTTCTCTGGAGCATTGTGCGGACATATGTGCAACAATAGGACAACATCTTTAGTCCACTACTCGCTCCAGGATTATGCAACTCAAAAACGAGCTTCAACACTCCTCCATGAAGGATCATACAATGGCACAAAATCTATTGGAAATTAAATCCAAAGTTGATTCGCTTGCGTCTGTAGGAGCATCACTCGATTCTGAAGATATAATTCACTATACGTTGAACGGCTTACCAGCTACATATCAAGATTTCAAAACTGCAATCAAAACTAATTTACAAACCATCCCACTTGATCAATTGTATACTCACCTGTGCAGCGAAGAGCTTAATCTAGCTCACGAGCTCAACAAAGAACTTGGTTCACTTCAATTATCAAGTAATTCAATGACATTGAATGCACAACGAGGTTGAGGCCGAGGACGTTTTAATCAACTAAATCGTCGATCATCAGCACCGACTAAGATGCCTTCCTCTGCTACCTCTCCATCTCGCGGCGGCAAATCTTATCGATCAAGTATTTTCTGTCAGATATGTGGTAAACAGGGTCAATCTGCAATAAAATGCTAGTATAGATATAATCCGCAGTATAGGTCGGTGTTACTTATTGACGGGGCAGTGCTTTCACTGTGGACAACAGAGGACAATTGGCTCGAGAGCCTACAGTGAAAGATCAATGAACCGGATGAATGATAGAGCTGATGATAGAGCTGTCAAAGATAGTCAGAGGGAGACCGTTGGCCACGACCTCCTGCACTTCCTCCAGTGGTGCCACGT